ATAGTATATATTTTTTTTATTTATTATATCTTAGATATATTTTTTAATATATATATATATATAAAATATTATAATTTATATCTTTTAGTAAAATCAATAATTATATAATTTTTATTAAATCAAATAATTTATTTTTATTATTATAAATATATATATTTTATTTTATAGATTTTTTATATTATTTTTATACTATTTTTTTTTTTTTTTCTATTTTATTTTAATTATTTAATCTATGAATAAATATGTATTAATAAAAAATAGATATTAGCTATATTTTTTTGAATGATTATTAATAAATAAAAAAATTAATCCTACTAAAAAATAATAATTGCATTTAATAAAATTAAAAAAATAATAATTATATACACTTTATAATTATAAAATTAAAATTAATAAATTTTCTTATATAATGAATATAAAATATAAAAATAATTTTTATTTTGTAAAATAAAATATATAAGTAATATAATTTATATATTAATTACTATTATTTTTAATTTAAAAAATTGTCAATTAATGTTTTATTATTTTTTTATGTTTATAATAGCTATTAATATGCTTTTTTATGATTTTCATACTGCAAATTATATTTATCTTTGTTTTCTTCCCAAAATGAAGCAATTTAATTAACAAAATCACTTAAACTTATTTCATTTTAAAACTATTCTATTTATTTTTTTTATTGAAAAAGTTCTTTATTTTTAATATATATAATTTGTATTAAATCATTAACTTTAATAACCTATTCTTTTATTTTTATTAAAAAATTATATTTTGTTAATTTGAAATAAGTTATAAAATTTAATGCAAAAATTATCTAATTTTAAATAAAGAATTTTATTTTTTTAATGAATTTAAGCAATTTCGTATTCTAACAATTCAGTGTATTTTATAAATTCAAAGTCAAATTTTTATTCATTAATATTACAAAAGTCAACTATTTATTATATTTTTTCAAAAATATATATTATACTTTCATTTTTAATATCAATTAAATTTTCATGAATTTATTATTTATTTGAGAATTATTATTCAAGATACAAAAATATATTTTGGTTGTCTGATTATGGTAATCTCAAGGATTAAAATTAAAATAAATATATTATATAAATAAAAAAATATAAAATTATTAAGTAATCATAAATATTTTTTTATTAGGATTTTTATTTTGTTTAATGATATAAATTATTTAACTCTTTAATAATTATTAATTAATTAAAAAATAAATTTAATATATATACCTATATAAATATAAATATAGATATTTAAAAATAAATAGATTATTTTATTTTAAATAAAAAATTAAAAAAAAAAAAAAAAAATTTAAAAATAATAATTTAATAAATAAAATAATATATAATTATAAAATATAATTTAAATATAAATTTTTAAGATTTTATAATAATTGTTATGAATATATATTATTTTCTTTTAATCTCTTATATATATATATAATTTTATAAATAAATATTATATATATATAAATTTATATATATATATATATATATATATATCTACTTTAATTTTTTTTTAATAAAAATTCGAATAATAGAATTTACTAAAAATAAGGATTTTTCATTATAAAAAATAATAGGTAACAATAATTAAAGTAATTTATAATTTTAAAATTTTATTTTTAATTATTTATTAGTTATATTGTATTAAAAAATATTATTTCTTTTATTATATTTTTTTTTTTATCATTATTTAAAAATAAATATAATTAAATATAAAAAATACTTTTTTTCTATTTTTTTGTCTTTTTTTTATTATTAGACTTTTTTAAAAAAGAATTAATTATATCTTAAAAAAATATTAATTTAAGTAATATTTAAAATTCGTTTTAATTATATATTACTTTTAGTTAAAATTCTTACTTATTAATATAATTGTATATATTTATATATATATTTTTTTTTTATTTCAATTCAGCTAAAATTAAAACCAATTTTTTATTATATAAAAATTTATTGCATTTTTTTCAATTTATCATATTAAGTATTTTCTATTTTAGTTTTAATGTATTTATATATAAATAAACGTTAATATTTATTAGAAAACGCTTTTAAAATCTATTTTAAAAGAAATAGAAAAGAATAATGTGAGAAAAAAGAAAAAATCTTTTATATTTTTTACAAATTAAAAAATAAGAAATATTAATAAATAAAAATAAAAATTAAATAAATAAAAAATATAGATCAAAATAAATAAATATGTAATAAATTTAATACAATTTCCTTTACTTTAATGAATTTGATGTTTAAAACTAAAAAAATTAAAATAAATTAGAGCTTTCTGAAAAAAACTCAACAAAATGTGATTCTGAGGAAGAAAATAATTACGAAGAAATCTTTTTATAAGACTAAAATAAATCAAGTGCAAAAAAAATCAAAAACATCATACTTACAGAATTTGATAAATATAAAACCGAAATGTGTAAAAATTGGAGTCAATTTTAATATTGTAAATATGGAGACAAATGCAGATTTGCACATGGAAAAAAATAACTTAATTCAAAAATACCTATAAATACTCTTTACAAAACTAAATTATGTAAATAATATTTCGAAAAAGGAGTTTGTTGTTATGGTTTAAGATGCCATTTTACTCATGATGTGCGAACCATAGATTAAATAGTTAAAAATAAGAAAATAAGTTATCTTTAAAATCTTAATTAAATCTAAAATCAATAATAAATATATCCTGTTATAAAAAATAATAGATTATAAGTATTTATTAACATAACTAAAAATTGAAATTTAAAAAAATAAAAAAAGTAAAGGATTTTTGTAAAAATTAATAATAAAAAAATAATTTATTTCATAATTATATAAAAAAAAATATAAAATATTTAAATTTTAAATATAATATTTAATGACTTTTTATTAATAATAATTTCATTTTATTCATTTTTATTTAAAAAAATATAAAATATATAAAAATTGAATATATATTTAAACATTTATTAATATATATTTTTTTTTATAAATAAAATAATAAATATATATATAATTTAAATATATATTAGATATATTTTATATATATATTTATTTATATATATATTATGAAATAAAAAACAAAAAGTATTTATATATACATATATATTTTAAATATATATATAAAAATAGCAAATACAAAATCAAAATATAAATAAAAACTAATTTTAGTTTTTTAATTTTTTTTTAACTAACTATTAATTTATATTTTAAATTTTTAATAATATTTTATAATTAAATGTTTTTATAAAATATAATAAATGATATTTCTATATACTAAATTCATTAATAAAATTTATAAATTAAAAATAATAATAAATATTCATAAAATATCAACATTCTTATTTTTATTATATAAAGATAAAATTTGAAATAAAATTTGTAATTTCTATTATGTCTAGTAAATTCTTTAATCATGATTATTATTCTTTATTAAATTCTTCGCTAATATTATTCTAAATTTATTAATCTTAATTATTATAATCAGATATATTAATTTCTATAAGCTATTCATGATTATGATCTTATTAAACTTCTATTTATAAAAATTCTTGTTATTTTAGTTAATTTTAATTTTTTTTTCTTATAAAATTTATATATCCTAATATTATGTGTTTTATTCTTCTTACTGTTATGTTTATTAATTTAATTTCTCTTATTATTAATTTTCATAAAATTCTTCATGTTAAATAATTTAATTATCATTTTCTTTATCTTATTATAAAAATTATAATTTATCTAATTTTTCATTTTTTAACATTTATTATTAATTAATATTAATTATTTATAAAGTATCATTTTATACAGACTCAATTAATAATATTTAATTGTTTACTTATTAGTCTTATAATTAAGCTTATATATGTTAATTTTGTAGAGTTTGTTGTTATTATTATTATTATAATTATTATTATTATTATTATTATTATTATTATTATTATTATAATTAATTTTATTTTTCTACATATTCATTTTATTATTATTTTTATTGTTCTTATAATTATTAATATTAATTTTATTACTATTAACATTTTATTTAATTATCAAATAAATTATTATAATCATTTTAATTTAAATACTTTTTTGATATTTATTTTAATTTATTTATATCTAAATTATAACCTTAGATAATAAAAAAATATATTTTTATTTATTTATTTATATAATTTATGTACTATGCAAAAATGATTTAATTTCATCTAAGACTAATTATTTTAAATTTTCTATTTTATTTTCATTAATAAATTAATATAATTCTAAAAAATTTATAACAAATTCAATTATAAAACCTTCGCAAAATTTTTGATAACAAGACCAATTACTAAAAATTGTTACCAAAATTCTTATATATTTAGTTATATGATTTTCATCTCTCATAAATAATATTTTACTTTAAAAAAGTCTTATTTTATCATAAATGCTTTTAATCTATACTTCATTAATAACATAAAATCTTAATTAATAAACTGCTTTATCAATTAGTAATACAATTTATTCGCATATTTAAGAATTCCATTCTTTAAGACTAATAAATAAAACACTCAAAGCTTAAATTATATTCTAGTTCATAAGTACTATAATTATAAATATATATTTATATAAATAAATATATATATATATTTAATATATATATTTTTTATATATTTATATATATATATATTTAAATTTATTTATACATATTTATATAGATATATTTAATTTTAAAATATATGTTATATTTTATAATTTTTTTTTTTTTACAATCATGTTATTAATCTAATTTTTAATGTCTCTAGTTTTCAGATATAATTAAAACTGAAATTATCTAAATTGCCCAATTATTTCCTTCTAAAATCTTAAATACTTTTGATTTTAAAAATCCTACAAAGAATATTATACTAGCCTATATAACTTTCACAAATTAATCATCTTCTTTAATACTTACTACAGCTAACATAAAATTGCTTATTGAATTTTTCAAACACAAGCAATTATTAATAACTTCCGTCTTATCCAGTTTTTTTTCATCAAGAACATCTAATATTTTTTAAAACATTTCTAATATTTAAAAGAATGGTTAGTTTTCTTCATTATTCTGACATAATTTATTAGAAATTACAAAATCATTTAACTAATTAATAAATTCTTACAAAATATATAAAGAACAATCATTTAAATAATTCAATCCTTCCTATAAACAATCATCGAAAGAGTTAAATTTCGAACACAAATTTAAATGTGATAAACATAATTCCAAAAGACAAAATTTACTAAAACTTTAAAGAAAAGTTTTTTTCTTTTTCCTTTTCAAAGACATTTCGTTTAAATTAAAAATTAAATTTTATAAATTCTCATTATCAATTTATTATAGCAAACATTCAGTTTTTTCAACTTTTTTATTAGAAAATGCTAATTTCAATATAATACAAATCTTTTACCATATTTTTTCAACTCTGTCTTAGTTTATTTTCATTATTTCTATACTTAAGTCTATTAAATGAGCAAATTTAATTTTTTCTGGAATATTTTTAAATTCATTTAATATTTGATTTATAAATTCTTCATAATCTTTATCATCTAACATTCTAATTAAATAATAAAAATTAAAATTATGTATATATATATATTTATAATTATATATATATAATTTTATACATTTATATATATATTTAATATATTTTATTATAATATTATATTTTTTTTTTACTTTGTTTATTCTAAAATTTTATATGTAAGTTTATCGTTTTTGAATGCTTTTTGGTATAAAATTTAATTTTCTTGGGAACATATACGTTATATTTATTAATTAATAGTAATATCTTCTTTTTCCTCATCAGAAATTTCTTCTTATTAGATAAATGATGAAAAAATATCAATTAAAGATCTATTATTATGTATATTTTAATTATAAAAATCATTAGATTCTCTTATTTTTTTAATTATACTATTACATCTTTAAGCTACATAATCATTCATTAAAAAACTGCGAATATTTATTGTTTTTACTAGTAATTTTACTGCTAGATTTTTACTATTTTTTAAATATTCAAGTGCTTTACCAGCAAAAATAAAGCAACATTATAAATATTATATATTATTTAAATTATTTAAATCTTCAAATTATATTTTATCATAAAAGTTCTATTTAAAAAATATTTTTTTATTTTTTTATTTTTTTATTTTTTTTACTTTAAATATTTTATCAACATAATCAATTTTATCATTAGATATACATAAATTTATTAAAGATTCCAATATAATTTACATATTTTCCTCTTCTTCTTCGGTTTCTTTAAATTTAAAAATAATAAAGTCTATATTCTCAAATATATTTTTTAAAATCATTTCTAAAAGTGCCTTTTCAGCTATTTCTCTTTTAAGCTTTTCATCTTACTCTATTAATGATAATTCGTCATCCAAAAAATCAAATTTACTAAACATTTAATAGTTCAATATCATATATTTCCAAATTATGATAGTGCATTCAGTTGATATATGAAAGCTTCTACACTCTTTAATCTCATTACTTTATATATTATAATAACAATCAAGAACATATTCATTAGAAATATCTTAACCTTCATTAACTCCTCTTACTTATTTAATAAATTCTTCAGGTAGCATCTTTTTTTCATTTTTACTACTATGTAAGTCTGATTATAACATAATCAAAGCACATGTAAATGTATAAGCAGAATTAGATGACAAAAATGTTTACTTATAAAAAAAAAAAAGGAAGAAAAAAAATTAAAAATTTATATAACAAAAAAAATACTTACTTAATTTTATTAATAATAATTAATTGAAAATTCATCTAAAATTCTTAAAACTTATTGTGATTCTATATATAAATAATAATATATAAAATATATATAAATAATAATTTTTTAAATATATATTAATAATAATATATAAAAGTTTGTAAAAAAAATATTTATGTATTTTTTTATTTACCTCCAGTCATTAAAAATGTTGATAATAGTATTCTTAAAGCATCAATAATATTAATTTATGAAAAATCGAATAATTAAATATATTATTAAATACATTTTTAATTAAATTTATCTGGTCCACCTAAAATTTCTATCATATATTTATGAGAAACATTATAAAAAGTCCTTAAAAAAAGAACTATTTTTTTTATTATAGGATCTTCTAAATCTTTATAATCTTAAATCTTGTATTCTTCTGCTATTTTTCTTAAAAATTTTTTAGGGTTTTCATTTAATAAATTTCCATATTCAATATATTTATTTTTTATATTTTCATATTTTATATAATAATTATCTTTATTATTATTTGAATTTACTTCCTTTTTTTAAAATAGTAATAAATTCATTAATATATCACAAGAAATATTCATTATATATTTCGAATCATCTCTTAATCCATTTCCTCCTTTTGAAAATTCTATTATATTTTATAAGATTTCTTATATTATTGGTTAATTAGTATATAAAAAGTCATTTAAAATAAAAATATCTAAAAAAAATTCTTAATTGGAAAACATTTTTTTTAAAAAAGGCATTAATAATAAAAATTCTGCAGTAATAGTTTTCTCTTCCTTATATTTTTTTACGAAGTTTTTGAATTTCATATATATTAATTACCCAAATAAAAATTTCTTTATTATATTACTTTCTGGACTGTTTTATTGGGTATAAAAATTAAACAAAATTTCGAAAATTTGGATTATTTTTCCATATATACTGACATTTTATATCCTTGAAATTTAGCAAATTGTAAAAATGCACTCTTTTTCAATTATTTTAATGTATTCAGGTAACTAATCCCTATCTATAAGTAAAATTATGATTAATATTAATAATTATATTGGCATTTCTATTATTTTAATATTTTCATTAGAGTTTGATTTGGCATAAGTTTCATAACTTTTATTCAATTTAGTGATTATTAATTATAATATTTGTATTATTCTAAAAGATTCAGGCTATTAAATATTTATTATACGCGTAATATACTATTACATAGCATATAAAAGTGTGTCTTTAGCCATTTCTTTTAATCCAATATTTTAAATTAATTGACAATTTGAGATTTCTTCCCATATTTTTTCAAAAATCTCTTCACTTATATATTCTAAAGGAAAATTTAAAATTATTTTTAAAAACTAAAAAAAAAATATATATATAAAAAAAAATATTCATATTATATATAAATACTTTTAATTTTTTAGCAAAATATATACTCTAAGTATCTAATTCATTAAATTTATAATTACATAATCTTTCTATTGTATATAAAATTATTTCTTCATCAAATAAATCTTAAAAATTCTAAATATCTATTTAACAAACTAAAAAAACAAAATTTAAATATATATATATATATATAATATATTTGAATTTTTACACTTAATAACTTTGTTTACACTTTATATTATTGCAATATTTATAAATTCATCATTTTCTCATAATTGAGTAAATTTATAAAATATATCTTTTAACGATAATTAATTTTATTATAATAATACTAATTAAAAAGCTTATTCAAATTATACTGATACATAAGAATTTTATTTTTTGTATTCTCTTATTTTATGAAAAGCTTATATAAGCTCGTTTTGTATTATTAAATTCATTTTTTAATTATTTAATAATATTTAAAAGATATTTATATATATAAAAAAAATGTTATTTTTTATTTATTTTATAAATTAATTATTTTTTATTAACACTTGTAAATAAATGATTATTTTAATTTAATAAAAATGAAATTTTCCTTTTATTTAAAAAAAAATATACATTTATAAAATTAATTAATTATATATTTTTAATATCATATTTTAAATAATTGTGATTTTTATATTTTATATATATAATATTTTTAAATAATTTTATTTGCTTAATTATATTATATATTGCAATTTTAATCTTTTCTCTTTTCTCTTTTTAATTTTTAATTTTTTAATTTATCATATTAAATTGAAAAAAAAAATCTAAATTATTTATATTATTATATTTTATAAAAAAATAATTTCTTTATATAATAAAAAAAATCTTAAAAGTATGTAAACTATATATTATTAATTTATATTTATAAAAATAATTAATTAAAAAATACTTTATAACTTATAAATATTCTTAAAAAAAATATTTAATTGAAACATCATTTATAAAATAAAAAATTTATATATAAAATTCTTTATTTTTTATTCTTAAAAAATTGTTTGCATTTTATTTAAATATATTAAAAAATACAAAATTATTTAGAACTGTATATTCTAATTCTAATTTATAAAATTATAGTAAAATAAAAACAACATATGTATTAACATACAAATTTATTTAGAAATACATTAAGTATTTGAAACTTAATTTTATTCTGTTTTATAATAATGTATATATTAAAATAAGTGTAGTAATGAAAGAGTTAAAAAATATTTTATAAATCAAAAGAATACTATTTTTGAAAGAGAGATAAAAATAACTGAATTTATTTAAAACTATAAATAATGAAATTAAATAAAAATAAAAATAAAAATAAAAATAAAAATAGGAAAAAAATATTAATAAATGAATAAAAATTACCTGATGTTATATAATTATAATATTAGAAAAAATAATTATTAGTAAAAATTATTAATTAATTATAATAATAAAATAAAAATATAAAAACAAGTAAAAAATTTAAAAAAATTAAATATAAAAAATGTAAATGATAAAATATATAAATGTTTTAATATATAATATTATATAAATTTATATATATATATATATATATATATATATATATATATATATATATAATTTTTCATATTATTAATTTTTTTTTTTCTTATAATGAATATATATCATGTTTATTTATACTTTATTTTTATAAAACAATTGATTTACGTAATTTTAAAAAAATATTTAATTGCAATATTTTAAACAGTTTTATTATAAATATCATATTTTTTTTCTTGGTTGATAATATATTATTAGAATATACAATTATATTATTTACATGAAGATTAAATAAATTATTCATTATTTTTAAAATAATATAAAAAATATCTTAATTAATAATAAAAAAAATTAAATAAAAAAATTAATTTAAGATATTATTTTGTTTATTATTATTATAAATAATTTAAAAATCATAATAAATTAAAATATGATTTTAAATATTTATTAATTTATTTATAAATTGAATAGAATAATTTTTTTAATAAAATAATATCAATATTCATATACTAAATATTTTTTATAAAAAATAAAACAATAAAACGAAATCATTTTAACTATTAAGTTGATGAAAATTAATAAATATATAAATTATTATTATATATATTGATATAGTAATTATTAAATAATAAATTTAATTATTCTTATTAAATATTTATGATTTTATATTTTAAAAACTTAAAAAGAATATTTATATATACAAAAAAATATATAGAATGTTATAATAAATAAAGTAAATGTATAGAAAACGTTAATTCATAACATATAGTTAAAATATAAATAATTTTTAAATAAAAAGAAACAATTATTATATTATAAACAAAAGAATGGAAACGAAAATTTTGATTGTATAGTATTATATAATATCATATAAATAAATATTATTTTATTAATTTTTATATTTTATTTTTTAAACAAAAAAATAAAATTATGTGTTATAAGTTAAAATATTTAAATAAAAAAAAAAAATATATATATTGTTTACATAAAGGATATAAAAAATATTAAACTTTCAAATTAAAATATATTTTTTATTTAAAAAAATATGAATGTATCGCAAAATAAAACTTTAATTAATATTAAATATTATTTTAATTTATATAAATATATTAAAATTATATTAATTAATATTTTATTAAAATTTATATGTTTTAATTTCCTTCTTTCTAATATTATTCCTTTTTCTGAGTTTTAAACTCTAATACCTCATTTTTTTACTCTTCGATTCTAGATTTCCTTTTTTCCACCAATTTTTAATATTCAATATAAATTGATCTGCCACTAAACTTACTCTTTTCCAGTTTCATATATTTATTATATTAATATACATATTCTCTATTTATTAATATGCTTTATCAATTAATTAATAAATTCTTTAATAATAATCATAATCAAATAATTTCCCTATTTACACTTCCTCGCTTCATCTACAAGTATTTGAATTTTCTATGAAATTAAATAAACATGATCATTTTATTTTAATTCGTATTTACTTAGTAGTATTTATAGCTTTTAAATTAATCTTTGTCGCATTGATTTATTATTTATATAAGAATATTGTCAACTAGTTATTAAATTGTATTAAGTATATTTTATTAAATGTTATAAATTTATTGAAATTCATTCTATATTTTTATTTATGTATTTTTATTACCATAAATAAACTATCATCTTAAAATATAAACAAATTAAAGGTATTATTATTTTAAATATATTCGAGGGGAACAAATAGGATTATTAAAAAATTTTAATTAAAATAATAATAAACATTTTTGTTATAAATTAAATTTATTACTTATTCTTTTTTATGGAAAAAAAAATATTTTTAAAATATAAAGAAATAATTTGTATTAAAAAAAATATATAATAATTAATATAATAAATATATTATATGATAATGTTTAATAATATATATGATTTAGATTTTAGTAAAAATAAATTTAATATAATAAATTATATTAATTTAAATAATATCTAGAAAGTTTAAATTGTTTTAAATAACTTGATTACTTTTTTATAATAAATAACATTTTTTTAAATATATAATATATATATATAAAACAAAACAAAAATTAATATTTTAAATAAAAATAAATCTTTAATCAATAAAATTAACAAAAAAATAATTTTTAAAAATATTATAAATTAAAATAAATATAAGAAAAATAAAATGGATAATTTCATAATTGCTATGAGTAGATATAAAAGAAGAAAATATGATCAAGCAATAGAATTATCTGATTAAATGATAGAATTAAATTAAAGAGATTAAGTTATTATAAATATTTAAAAATAACATACATAAATATATTAAAAAAAGGCAGCTTGGATAATAAAATGCAATTGCCTAATTAAAAAAAATTATATAGATGACCTAGAAACAGATGAAGAAGGAATTGGCGATATTTTATTAGATGAAAATACAGTTTCCTAATATGCTAGACCTGGTACATCATTGTAAAGACCAACAACATCAAGTCAAAATGGATTAAATCCAGTAAAAATAAAATATATATAAAAAATAATTATATATATATATAAAAAATATATAAATTTAAATTTTTAAATAAATAGATATAAAGGCCTGTAAGTAAATCAGGAAGACCTATTACTGGTTTTGCAAGACCAGGAACTAATAGATTATAATCATCATCGAATTAGAATAGAATAGAAACAGCACTTTAAGGAAATCGTATAGGTACAACACGTCCGATAACAAGTGGCGGTAGGTATTAACATAAATATAAATATTAAATATATATATAAATGTATATATGAATATATATATAAAAATAAATATATAAAATAATTATATATAAAAATATTTATATAAATAAAAAAAAATATTTATATATACAAATATAAAATAATATATTTAAATATTTTTAAAAAGATATTGTTAAATATATAAATATATAAATATATAAATATATAAATATATAATTATATATATATATATATATTTATTTTATTTATTTATTATATTTTTTTTTATATATTTTTTTTATATATTTTAGATATATGAGATTAGGTACTGCTTGTTTAATAGCTGACAAGGACAATTTTTTATAAATAGATAAATTAGATATGAAAAAAATTGCTAAAAAAGGTATTTTAGCATAAGCTATTTGTAACTATCTTCTTTATGTCGAAAATAACCCAAAAAAAGCTCTCTAACTTGCCTCGGAATGTACACAATTATCTTAATTTAAAGACTGGTGGTGGAAAGAAAGACTTGCAAAATGTTATTCTTAACTTGGTTTACATCGTGAAGCCGAAAAACAACTACAAAGTTCCTTAAAAGATTAAGATATAATTAAAACTCACCTCCAATTGGCCAAAGTATATATTAGATTAAATCAACCAATAACAGCAATTGAATGTTATAAAAAGGGACTATAAAAACATCCTTAAGAAATATAATTTATACTAGGAATTGCTCGTATATATGATTAATTAGGTGAAAACGAGAAAGCTGTAGATCATTATAAGTTTTTATTTTTTTGTATAAAAAAAATAATCCCAAAAAATATATTTTTATATAAAGATAAGTGCTTAGTTTAGACAGTAGTAATATGGAATCTGTAGCTTAATTAGCCGCAAATTAATTTTATATAGACTAGCCTGAAGTATCAACAAAATTTTATTAAAGACTATTATAATTAGGTATTAATTAAGCTGAATTATGGAATAACTTAGCTTTATGCCTATTTTATGATGGCTAATATGATCTGTTTTATTCATGCTTTGAAAAAGCATTAATGTTAGCAGATGAAAGCAATAAAGCAGATATTTGGTATAATATTTCACATGTATTTATAAATTTAGGGGAAACTGGAATGGCTTATTAATGTCTCAAAATTGCTATTTGCTTTGATCCACATCATCCTGAAGCTTATAATAATCTAGGTATATTAGAAATTAAAAAAGGGAATATTGAAAAAGGAAAATATGAACTATAAGTAGCAATGAAAGAAGGTGAAATGTTAATAGAACCACATTATAATGCGGCTTTATGGGCTTTTAATACAGCAGAGTATTAAGAAGCTTTGAATTTAGTCAATAAAGCGATATGTATATACCCAGATCATGATGATTCAAAGAAATTGAAAAAAAATATAGAAGATTTACTAAAAGTTTTATGATAATACAAAATTATAATAAATAAATATATAAATAATTATATGTTATATGTTTTCATTAATGTCATGTTTTTTTAACTTTTTATTAAAATTTTATTATTATATTATTTTATTAGTTTTTTATATTTTAAATTATTATTTTTTACTAATTTATTAAAAATTTATTAAATTCTAAATGAATAATAATTTATATTTACTAAAAAATAAGTCTTTTTCTCCTTTAAAGTAAATTTTAAAAACACGCAAATACATATTTAAAGAATCTTAAGTTTAATAAAATAAAGTTAATTAATAAATTTATAAATAATCTATATATATATTTATTTTTTTCTAAATTCAATTTTTTTATAAATAAAAGAATGAATCTTTAAAATAATTGTGTAAAAAAAAAACGTAATCTTATTAAAATTCTTTACATAATAGTTTATTGTTATATAAAAGTATTTGTGACAATAATGAAAAAAATAAATTATAAGTAAATATTAGTAAAATTGATATAAATAAATAAAAAAATATAATTTAAAACGACAAATAAAAAAATATAAATATAAATTTTATATAATATTAAACGAATCGTAATTTTTTTTATTTAATATGTATATATATATAAATTTTGATTAGGCAATCGAAATAAATTAATTTCTAATAAATATATAATATTAAAAAATTCTAAATTTGTGAATAATTTAAATTAGAAATAAGCTAATTTTAATACAAACTAAAATGTAATGTAATAAAATAGAATTAGGTTTTCTAATAAGTTAAATCCATTTAAAATAAGAAACGATAGTTTTTAATAAAAATAAAACTTTAAAAATGCTTCAACAAATACTCCAAATTATTAATCACTAAATAAACTTAAATGATTATTTAAAAATAAAAAAAAAATAATTATAATTATAAATAATAATAAATATTATATCTTAAAATTAATTAATAAATTTTATTAAATTTAATAAAAATATTTTTTTTTTATAATAAATTATTAATATTATAACTTAGTTATTTTTTAAATCATTTATTAATAAAAAATTAATATAAATACATATACATGTAGAAAAATAAATAAATAAATAAATAATAAATAATAATAGAAATATATATATATATATATATATATATATATATATATATATTATATAATATTATTTAATTAAAAAATTATTCAATTGATCTAAATAGTATTTTATATTTATCTTTCAATTAAACTCTTATAAACTCCTTATTTTTCAATAAGTTCTTAATGATTTCCCTCTTCAACGATAATTCCATACTACATAACAATAATTTTATTAGAATTTTTTATTGTAGACAATCTATGAGCAATAATAATAATTGTCATACTTTTGTTTTAAACTAATTTATCAATACTTTACTATACTTAGTATTCACTTTCAGCATCCAAAGCACTTGTAGCCTCATCAAAAATTAAAATATTCGGATTTTTAGCCAATGCCCTAGCAATAGCCACTCTTTATTTTTATCCTCCAGAAAGTTTAGTACCTCTTTCTCCCACAAGAGTATCATATCCTTTCGGGAACATATTCTTATTTTATAAAAATTCACTAACCCCTGCCATATCGCAAATTTTATCAATAAAATCTAAACAATATTCATCTATTCCATAGACTATATTATCCAATAGACTGCCCGAAAAAAGTGTTGGTTCTTAACTCACTAAGCCTATTTATTACCTCAACTTTAATCCATTTATTTCTTTGACATTTTCCCCATTTACGAAAATTCCTCCACTACTAACATCATAAAATCTCTCAATTAATTTCACTATAGTACTTTTGCCACTTCCAGAAGCCCCAACAATAGCCACACATTCCCCAGCCTTTATTTTGCTTGAAACTCCATGCAAAATCTCCACATTAGTTTTCGGATAGGAAAATGTAACATCTTTAAGTTCTATTTCTCCACTTACGCATGTGAAATTCTTCCCTGTATTATTTTTAACTATCGGCTCGTAATTTAGCATTTCGAAAATCCTCTCCAATGCTCCCATAGCGCTAACAATACTACTAATTCCATATGATATAGCAGAGGAATTAGTCGCTAGAGAAGTCGAATATAAAATAAAAGAAGCCAAATCTCCAGAAGATAAATCTCCAGTTTATTCAGCCACAATAGAACCTCCATACCATAAAATAATCAAAATGCCAATATTAGAAATAAATGTATTTTAAATTGTAAAAAATAAAGCATTCGCTATTGAGCTTTTCAAACATTCAGCATATTCATCTGAAATAATTTAATTGTATTTTTTAATCTCGAAATTTTCCTAACCGAAAGATTTCACAGTCATAATTCCAGAGAAGACTTCCTCTGTTAATTCACTCTATACAGCAGATATATCACTAACTTTTTTTTCTATTTTTTTACTAAAACTGGAATAAACTTTAGTAACAAAATAATAAGCGGGTACGACAGGCAATATAGCAAGTGAAACCTTCCAACTAATTACAAAAAGCATAATTAAATTACTAAAAATTAAAAAGAAATTTCTTAAAAGCATATTAGTGTTAAATCCAACTGCTGCTTTAGCAGTTGAAATATCTCTACTTAGTCTACTCATGAGTTCTCCAGTTTTATGCTTTTCGAAAAATTCCATATCTTAATTAATGAAATGTGAAAAAACATCTTTTCTTAAATTTAAAAGGATTTTTTAAGAAAGTAAATTAGAACAAATCATTCTTATTAAAATCAAAATACAAGTAATAATAATAATTCCTAAAAATTAAAAACTTAAAGTTTTTACTTAATGTTATGCATCTACTGATGTTACCACATTCAAAAGCCTTCCTATTAAATAAGGAATTAAAGTTTAGGATAAGGTTGATAATATTAATGTCACATACATTGCTATTAGTATTTTTTTTTCTTTTAAACAATAACTATACATTCTTTTATATAAACCCCATTCGAATTTATCGCTTTGTTTTTATTTTTTTATATCTTTTCGAGCATTTTATGAAATTTTTAATTAATCCCGCTCTTCGTATGATATTTTTATTTCTTTCTTTATTTATGTACATCTGTCTATATGTATTATTGACTCCTGATTCATATCTGAAATTCTCGAATCATCTATTGTTGAAGTTGTTGGGCGACCGCTTATTTTCTTTTATTCTTGTTCGAATTCTTTACTCATTAATGATATGGTTATTTCTTTTGATAAATCTTATTTCATATATTTTTTTAGATTTTTTTTGTTTTTTATTTGCTTTTCCTATTATTTTAATATTTCTTTTTTTTTTTTTAAAAAAAAAAAATACAATTAAAAATAGTTTATTTATTAATACTAAAAAAAAATGATTGTATTTTGGAAATAATTGACATTATTCTATATAATAATTAAATATATTTTTAATAACAAATTATTTAATCTGTAAAATTAAGAAAAAAAAAAAAAAATAGATTATTTATTATAATGTAATCTTTACATTTTTATATAATTAAAAATAAAAAAAAACATTATTTATATAAAAATTATATAAGTAAATGAAATCTAATATATCGTTTTTAATTTTATTTGATAAAAAATTTTAATCCAAATAATCTCAAAAATGGAATTAGGCCCGACTTTAATTAATTTTTTAATAAATAATAAAAGAAAATAAAATTTTAGCATGCTGGAATGAAGAACACATAAAATAAATAATATATAGAAAGAAAATTATTATTTAATTTTTAAAAAAATGCATAGGATTAAATTTTTTATTATTATTATTTTTTTACTCTATATAATAATTAATACTTAAATTAGTATTAATTTTTTTTTCATATTTATATTTAAATCAATTTAAAGTTTTAAAATTTAATATTATTTAAATTAATTAATAATTTTATTAATCAATATATTCCTAATCTCTTATTTGAATAATTATTTTTTGGTTAATAGACTCTTTTTTCTTTCTTTTTTTATTACATATTTCATTTAAATTTGAAATGATTTTTAATTATAATTTTTTATATTAAATCCTATTTTATTTACGTAATTATTTACTGATTTGTATATTGATTTTTAATTATAATTCAAAGTCAATATATTGGTTTACTAATGTATATATATTTTTATGATTAAATTTATCAATAAAATAATATGATGGAGAATGATTTTAGTTCAATATTTTTTTTTATATATTAATTTTAAGAATAATTTTATTTTATAAAAAAATATTATTAATAGTAATATCTTATATATTTAATAAACAAAAAAATATATATATATTATATGTCTATGTATATATTAAATATCATATATATTTTATTAATTTAAAAAAATGTTTAAAAAAATAGCTAAAAAAGCAAATTTATAGCATATAGAAGAAGACTAATAAAATAAAGAAGAAGAAGAAGATATAAAGTAAAATTTTATAATTAAAAATATAAAAAGAAATAACTTAAAGCTATTATGATTCTAAAATACTTCCATAAAGCAAATAAATAAAAAAGAAAAAAACAGGACTTGATGTATATTTATAAATAAAAACAAAATAAATTAATTAATTACTTAAAACGAAAATAGTAAAATACTTTAAGCTTTATAAAAGAAAGTGAATTTCAATAAAAAAATGTCAAAAAAGGTTTAGAAGATATAATAGGATTGATTGATAAATAATATTTAAAAGAAACAATGTAAGGAGATTAAGATAAATAAGTTAAAGAGTAATTAATTTGAAAAATAAAATAATATATTTATAAAAAGACCAGTATATAAAAAAATGCTTCTAAATGAACTTTAAAATAAAATAAATAACGATAAATTAGAATAATATGAACAAAAATAAATTATTATTGATATTGAAAAAGATAAAGCATTATAAATATCAGAATTAATAAAAGAAATTGAAAATGTAATTTTATTATTATTATATATTTTATATTAATTTATTTAGAAAGCCGAAAATTAAGAGAGATTTTAATTCAAAATAGCATTAAAGCCGCATTAAGTTATATAATAATAAGGATTTTAAGAATTAAAAATGACATATGAGTAAATATAATAATAAAATATTAATAATTAAAATAAAATATAAGCTAAAAAGCCAAAAATATATACTATATTGAGGATTTAAGAAGAAAACAACTATTTGGTTGCGATATTTATATAAATGAATAAGAAATGTATATATAAATAATAATATTTATATATTTATATATATTTTTATATATATATTTATATTAATATATTATATATAAATATATATATATATATTATATTACTTTCAGAAATTAGCAAAATATGTCTAAAGAAGCTTTATAAGAAAAGCAAGAAAAAGAATTTCGTTAATTCGAAGATAAATTTTTAAAAAGAGGAAGAGGTAATATTTAATATTTTTTATAATAAAAAATAATTAAATATATTACTATATTAATAGCTTTTAGATAAAAAGTTTATTAGGCATCTTAATATAATTAAGTAATAGATAACATGCTATGATTTTTTTAAACATATTATACATTATATATATTTTATATAAGTATTACATAAAAATATATTAATATATTAAACTTTATATTTTTATTACATAAATATTTTTTTCAATAATTTAGTTTATAATTTTTTTTAAATTTCTTGCTAAGTTTTTTTAGTTTATTTAATTGAAAATATAAATTTACTTAAAAATAAAAAAAAAGCTTATATAATAAAATAAATGGATTAATTTAGTTAAGTGAGTTAACATACTCCTTAATCTTTCGATGATATATTGAAAAACATAGAAAAAATGACATAAAATCCTTAAGTAAAAAACAGAAATTAAGAATACATATAAAATATGAATTTAAAAATGTAAGAAATAGCTTAAAAAATATAAATGGTAAAAAAATCTTTTTGTATTTATGGTTTAAATTACAAACTAATAAAAAGAGCTTTTAAATTTTTATTGAAGAAGTAAATAATTTAGATTAATAATTTTAAACAAATATAATAAATCTTTAATAATAAAATATGTAATTCATAAATGATTAAATAGAAAATTTATAGGAATAAATCTTATAAAGGTTAAAAAAAACATTTTTTTTTAAATAAAATATATATATTTTTTTTTTTTAAATAACAAAAAAAAAAGAGAAAAAGTTTGCTAAAAAACTACATTTCATTCTTACGCCATTCATAATATAAATGAAACACTTAAAAGTATGGAAAATTAAGATAATTGAGATAAAAAATAATTTATATTTATATAAAATATGTAGTAAAACTCTCTAATATTAAATATAATAAAAAAATTATAAGAATATAAAATATAGAAAATTTTGATATTTTATAAAGATAATATATATAATATTTATTTATTCAAACATAAATAATTTTTGTTATTATTCTTTAATTTTAATTAAAATATATACAGAATAAATCAAATATTAATTAGTTTTTTAAAAATAATTTATAAATAAATTCGAATATATATCCATTTTATCTAGATTATTTATATTATTTCTAATTATTATTTTTTTATTATAAAAACAATTATATAATGGAATGAATATTTTATTAATTATTATGATTATAATAAAATTATATTAATCCTATTATTTAATATTATTGTCAAAATAAATAGTAAGATATTAATATTATAATATAAAAAAATAATGAGTATAAAATTATAAAAAACATATAAATAATTATTATATAATATTTATATTTATTTATATTTGAATATATTTTTATAATATTTTTAAAGTATAAATATAATATTAAAATATATATTAAAACTATTTTTGTTTTATATATTAATATTAATATATTTATATATTACAATAATTTTTGTTAAATTTTTTGTAATCATTTTTTTATAAATATTAAAATCTATTTTTTTTTCGAATTATTTTTATTAAGATGTTTTATTAAATACTTTGTTATTTTAAATATTCATAAATAAATTAATAGATTTAATTATTTTACTTATTAATATTTTTTTTTACAATATTAATTTAATATCTTTTATTTTTATTTTTTTTAAGTAAATTTTTTATTTTTTTATATATATATATATATATATATATATATATATATATACGTTTATATTTATAAATTAAAGTTTTTGATAATAATTAACTTATATTATATTTATTTTTATGTTTCCTAATTGTCCATTCAAATATATTTTACTCTTTCTTTATTTTTTATTATTATATATTTTTAAATAAATAAAATAAATAACTTCATTATTAGTTTTTTTAAAATATATTAATAAAACATATAATATCTTATTTTTTTTAATATATTAAATATTTAACAGTTTATGATAATAATTAAAAATATATGTGTTATTTTTTTTATTTAATTGTATTTATATATTATTACTTATTTAATATTTATTAAAAAAGATTATTTTTGTTAATAAAAAGAAACACAAAAATTTAAAATTAAAGCCAAAAAAACTTTTAATATTTTTAATAAAACTTAATTTATATAAATATATTTTATTATAACATATTTTTTTTTATTATTAATATTTTAAATTTTTAAATTAGTTTATTTAATAAAAAATTTTAATTTACGTATATTATAATAATTAAATATTTTCTCTATAATATTTGTATTTTTTGTAAACTATATTGTTTAAAAAAATTAAAAATACTTAGGCTCTCAATCATAAACAAAAAAAGATTATACTACAAAAAATACAAAATATTATTAAGAATAATTAAAAAAAATAATAAAAATAAAAATAATATTGCATAATAAATTTTAAATAAAAAAATAAAAAAAACTAAAAAATGATTAATACTGAAATATTTAAACTAACAAAAAACTCAACTCAATAAGATTTAGAATAATGCATAAAATGGATCCGCTATAATTTCGAATAATCAACTTCCCCAAACATTCAAGTAATAATAAAACATCCATAATCCAATATTAACTACCAATAATAGACAACTTTAAAAGCTTTTTTTATGAAAGCCAAAATATAATTAACTAAAATATTGAAAAAAACTAAAAGTAGGCTTCTATATAAATAATGTAACAAACCCTTTAATAAAAAATATAAGATGCAATAGATTAAATATATAAATATATTGAAAAAGGACTTTCTTTTTATAAAGAAAAAACTATACAAATGCCATTGAAAATTATTAGAAATGCCAAACAATATGTGAAGAACAGACTAGTATATTAGAAGATAAAAATAAACTACTCTAAAATGAATCATTTAGTATAAATAATTATTTCTATATAGGATTATGTTTTTTAAATATGAATGAATACGAAAAAGCAGGTGAATATTTAGAAAAAGGAATCATAAATTTATAAGCAAACAAATACGACTAATCTTTATTAGATTAATTAGTCCCTAATATGTCTTTTTATTTATATTCAACACTAGGAGAAATATATTCTAAAAAAAAAGATTATAAAAAGGGTATCAAAAACTGGGAAAAATCATTAGAATTTCTGGAGAACCAAGAATATGGGGAAGGTTTAAAAAATAGAGGACATATTTTAAATAATTTAGGCCTAGCATATTATTGTACATAAAATATTTAATTAGCAATTTAATCATTTTAATAGAGTCTTAAAATATATACAAGTATATTAGGTGAAAATGATATATAAGTTGCAAATAGAATGAATAATGTAAATATATAAAATATATAAGTATATATAAAAATAAAAATAAATATATATATATATATATATTTATTTATTTATATATATAAGAAATATATAGATTTAATATATATATAAATATTTATCTATATATATTTTTATATATATAAAAGTTAGCAGAAGCTTATAGATATAATAAAGAATATATAAAAGCTTTAGATTTGTTTACACAAAGTTTATTAATTAAAAAAAATTTAAATTAATCTAATGAAAATATAAAAAATATTGCTAATACATATCAAAACATTGGTAATACTTATTAATCATTAGAAGATTTTCCAAATGCAATTGATAATTTTTTACAATCTTTAAAATATTACAATGATTTATTATAATTAGATAATAATTAAACTGAAATTTAAGATAATGTCAGTAAATTGCATATCATATTAGGGGATTGTTATAAGGAAAATAAATAATATGACCTTTCAGTCTACTAATTTGAAAGAGGATATGAAATGAAAAAATAATTGCATGGCATCAATAATAAAAGTACTATTAGTTGTGCTAATTAATTAGCTTCATTATATTTTAGAATTAAACAATTTTAAAAAAGTATAGATTTATTTGTAATAGTTTTAGATTTTCAAATATAACAATATGGCGAAAGTTCAATATAAGTAGGACAAACATTAAATAATATAGGGTTTTAAATATATATATAGATATATATATATATATAAATAATTTTTATATATAAATATAATAAATATAAATAAGTTTTTTTTATATTATTAGAACTTCTTTATGTTAATTAAAAAATTATAAAGAAGGAATAGTTAAAATATAGCAATCATATGAAATATTTAAATAATAATAAGATAAAATAGGAGATAAATAATTATTAGAAAGAATGTAAAAAGTACTAAATTCTAATATTAATAAATATTAATAATTACTTGAAAAGAACGATAAATAAGAAGTGGAAGAAATATAATGAGTTTTTTTTTTATTTAATAAAAAAATTCTTAAAATAAATTAAAAAAAATTATAAAATATATATAATATATAATTCTTTTATTCAAAAATTGTTTTGTAAAAAAACTATATCTATTTTCATTTAATTTTTTTTTCATTATTTTAATTTAATTTAATTTAATTTTATATTTATAATAATTACTTTCAATAAACTATATTTTGATTAAAAAAATACAAATAATTAACACATTTATAATAAAAATAAATAAAAAACCTTAAAAATCAAAAAAACTAAATTAATATAAAAAAGAACATATATAAAATAAAAAATGGGAGCAGAATTATAAAAAGAATAATAACCATTTTAAATAGATGACGAATATACACGAAAATACGAATATATGTTATAAAATTATTTTCAAATAGATACCAAAAATGATATTTTAGTAGGAAATTATGATTTATTTTTATCAAAATACAATAAAAACACAAGCATAATCCAAATATATCAAATATTTAATTCCGAATATGAACTTTAAGCTCAATATCAACTAAAATAGCTAAGATTAATAAAAACACATCCATATATTATATAATTACATAGTAAAAAATAAAATAAAATTAAATAATTATAATATATATATATATATATATATTTATATTTATATTTTTATATATAAAGTATTTAAAAAAGTAATTGAAGATTCAATTTGTAGTAAATAATTTAAAATATATTCACTTCTTGATAATTGTTCATTAACTTTATAACATAAGTACGTAAATATGATATAGATAAATTAAAGATTTTCTGAAATATAGTTATTTTAAATACTGGAATAAATAACTTTTGCATTATCTTTTATATATTCTAATAATTGCACTCATCAATATTTGCGTTTAGATACTATTTTTATTATTTATTGTCCTTAATAAAACACTTTTTTATATAAAATTGCTGAAAATTCTTTTATTTCTTCCACTTTTTTTTCTAATTATTCCGATTGTTTAAATTAAAATAGTTAAGGACGTTACTTATCACCCGAAAGCATGTAATGTTTATAAAAAAATTATTTAAAAGTACTGAAAACGGTATCAAATCCGATGTTTTTACACTAGGAATGATATTATTATAACTGTCAACTTTTACCTAATTAGAATATATATATGACTTTAAATAAAACGTAATAAACACATATTTATTAGAAGAAAAAATATACACTTTATAACGAATTTATACATAGGAATATACGTAAATAATAAGTGAAATGCTCTAAATAAACCCTATAAATCGCATAGATATATATTAATTAGAATAAAAATTATTATAGAGGTAAAATTTACCAATAGTTAAAAATATAAACTAATAATAAAATTAATAATTATAAATAATGAATATGCTGTAATAAATGCTATAACAATAATAATAATAGGAAAAAAATATTGTATTTTCTTCTAATAATAAAAGTGATATAATATAATAAGCAAATGTATTCAGTTGTTCACCTCATAAAAAATACTTTCAGAAGGTTGTTCTCCTTTAAAAGGTGCTAATGTATTTGATAAATTTTCTTCATAATAATAATATTAATAATAATAATAATAATATTAATAATATTAATAATAGTTAATTAAATAATTTAAATATAATGACGGTTCTATTTATGAAGGAGAAATGTTCTAAGAATACAGAAACGGTTATGGAAATTTAACTTTTTCAAATGGAGGAGTATACAAAGGTTTTTGGAAAATAAACAAAATGCACGGAAAAGGTACCCTATATTACCCTAATGGGCAAAAAGCATATGAAGGATATTGGTATGAGGACTAGTTTAATGAATATGGTCATTTATTTAACAATAAATTTAAAATTTTTAATACAAAATTCGACTATAAAGATTTTTCTTAAATTAAAAATTAATGGATTAAATATGAAGGTGAATTTAATTTTGATAAAAAACAAGGTTTTGGAACTATTTTTTTAGCAAATGGGGAAAAATATATAGGAAATTTTAAATAGGATAAAATACATGGATATGGCATGTTTTATGACATTAATGGATAATGTATAAGTGGATATTGGGAAAATAATTTATTATTAAAAAAAATGTGAATAATTATTTTTTGTTAATATGTTATATTTTATATATTTATATATATATTTATAATTTATATAAATTATTTATTTGCTTTGCTATACTTATCTTTAAAAAAAAAAATTTTTAATTTATATAAATAATTAATTATTAAATTTTTAATAATATTAATTCATTTTCATCAATTTTATAATATTTAAAAATTTACAATATTATAAATTTATATTTATATATATAAATAATATTTTAAAGTTTTTTTGTAAAAACATTTGTATAATATATGTAAACTTTATTAAAATTAATTTTTTTAAAAAAATGAATATTTTATAATATAAGACAATTCTAAGAAAAATATTTAAAATAAATAATTATGTTTAATAATAAAAATTTTTATATTTAATTCAAAAATAAATATAAAAACATTCATATAAAATTTATACAAATAACAATTACTAAATAATCAAAACAAATAAATATTTAGTAAAAAAAAAAAATCATTAATTAATTTTACTAATTTCATTTTCTAAAATTTTATCAATAATAATTCGTGATAATTAATTTTCATTTAAATTTGGACCTAAGTGTATTAAATATTAACCTTCATCATCCATTAAATATGAAATAACAGTATGATCAATAGTATAATTATATTAAAGTTAACCTAATTTATCTTTACCTCTATTAAAAAATAAAAAATAAAAAAAATGAATAAAAAAATATAATTGTAAATATAAGTATTATATATATATAAATATTTAAATAGATATAAAAATATAATTATATATATTTTTATATTTATATATATACATTTTTTCATTTTATAAAAAAAATATATATAAATATTAATATATAAATATTTAATATATTAATACATTTTTTATTTATATATTTTTTTTAATAAAAATACCTATTATCTTCAGCAAGTTCATATTCAATTTTAGTGGAATATATTCTAAATTTTTTCATTATGTCTTTTAGTTTTTAATCATTATTACTACTACCAGTAACCCCAATAATATTTTTATCAAATAAATTACAGAACTTTTTAATATCACTCATAGTATCTCTATCTGGATCTACACTTACAAATATGCTTTTCAATTTTATTAATCTACCTTCTGGTGTATCTTAAACCTTCCTTATGCTTTATGATATTTTCTACAAAGCATTTGGACATATATCTGGGCACTTACAAAATCCGAAATAAATAATATAATAATATCCTTTTAAATCATCACTTCCAAATTATTTTCCTTCAGTATTATATAATTACCATTCTCCTCCCACTATCTATTTTTATTATAAAATCTTTTATTTTTATTCCTCCGTAGTACCTTTTTTCGATTATAACTAAGGCAATAATTCCAAAGATAAGTATCCTAAAATTATACCCAAACTCCCTATTAATAATAATTTTGTAGTTGTTGAACCTTTTCTTTCGAATGATCCATCGTCTCCGTCTAAATCTTCCGTTTTTTATTCTTATTCGGTAAACATACTTTCTATTTTGGCTAATTTTTCATCTTTTGATAAATTTTAAAAATCTTTTAAATCTTAATGAGTTTATTTTTCGAATTCTTTATTTAAAGAATCATGTCTATCTTCGTTTAACTTTTTTGAAAAATTATTTATTGGTATATTTGTTAATTATTTGAATTTTGTTTATATTGCTATTTATTTTATTTAATTAAATATTGTTTTATTTCTTAATAATAACATTTTTGTTGATTATTTAAAAATTCGCACCTTTGTATGGAATATGTAAATTAAAATAAAAGATATTTTAAAATAAAATAAATAATAATTAGTATATAAATTTATATTATGTAAACTTAAATAATCTTTAATTTTATAATATTAATTATAATATATATGCTATTATATATTCATTATAATTATATAAAAGCTCTTTTATTTCAAAATTATATTATATTTTATTTAAAAATTAGTTAAATGCATTTTATAAAACACTCTATTATTTTTAAAATAAATGCAAATATATTATAATAATCTAAAATTCATTTATTCCTAAACATTGGAAATATTTAACAAATTAATATAATAAAATGATACTAATCTATATATTAATACATAAAATTTTAAAAACAATATATTTAAAAACTTATAAAATCTTCTTTAATATATTAATAGAAGTAAATTTCAAAATTGAACTTATAAAAAACTATAAATAACTTCGATTAAAAACTAAAATCCTATTTTTAATAAATATACATGATAATACACGAGATCTAGATAATAAATTCCAAGAGTGTATAAAAAAGGTAATAAAAACATAATTTTAGTATTTTATATATTCCAATAAAAGTGGTCAAATCTTAATATTTAATAAAGTGTTCCATTTATTAGAAAAAAATTAAAATTTCCAAAAAGCTCAAAAACATAAAATATATTAAATTATTAAAAAATAAATATGCAAATAAAAATTATTTATAAACAAGTATTATAAATAAAACTTAGAATTTCTATTAAATTATACAAACAAACAAAAAACTGAATAAAAGTTACAGATCATATAAAAAGCTTATTAATATAAAAAAATTAAATTCAAAATATAATCATATTTATGTTTTAGTAGAACTTAAGATATTTATTTGAAAGTTAAAAAAAAGAAAAATAAGCATTATTAATAAATCCTTAATTAAATTTATGGCCTAAAGGATTAAAAAAATCTGAATATATTGTAATCTATAACATATTTAGTTTTCATATTAATTATTTATTCAAAAAATATACTTTTCGATTAACTTTTAAGAATAATATATGAATTAATCAAAAGATAAAATTTAAAAACTTTTATAATATTGACAATTGACCCTTGATTAATATAAAATTAATTGTGTATTAAAATATGATTTTCATATTGTTTGATATCCTTGTATTTTATATTTTACGAAAAAAAAAGAAAAAAAAAGCTAATTTAATAATGACATAATTAAATTGATTTTCTTAAAAATTTCAAATCAATAACTATAAAATTGAAAAGGATAATTTAGATAATAATTACTTAATTTTAAAAAGGCTTTTTTAAATTTAAGATTTAATGGTTTTAATTATGAATGAAATTTTTAAAGAAAAATTATATTTAAGATTATAAGAAGAAACATAAAGTAATTTTATTTCAATAATAAAATTTTAATTATTAATTAAAAAAGAAGAATTTAGTTATCAGTCTATTTAAAAAAAAACTATTAATTTTTAAAAGAATCATTTTATTGAAAAATAAATTTTTATTTATACATTTTTTTTATAATAAGATATAAACTATATAAATATATTTAATTTATATAATTATATATTATAAAGTATAAATAATAAATTATATTTAATTATTAATATAGAAATTTTTTATTAATATTAAATATTATAAAAATATATATATTTTTTTTATTAAAAACATTAACTTAAGTTATTTATAATAAAAGTATATACAAGAAATTATAAAATGTTAAAATTAAATATATATGTAAAAATTATATATTTAAATACTAAATAAAGTTTATTTATTATTTTAATTTTCTTAGTTTAATATATTTTTATTTGTAGTATTTTTTTATTTTATTATTTTTAAAAAACTAATTATATAAAATTTAATTTATATTTTTATATTTTATTTATTTTATATTTAATTAAAAATGGATAATTAAAATTAATTAATATTTTAGATAATTAATGAAAATTTTAACTATGAATAAGTTTAAATATGTTAAATAATTTAAAAGTATAATTAGATAATATTGGAATAAATAATATAAAATCTTTAATAGCATATAAACCTTAAAACAATAAAATAAAATATTAGTATTTTATTATTCAAAGGAATTATTTAAAAAAATTAGATAAATAATGAATATTTTTATTCATTAAATAATTATGAAATTTTAAATATAATAAGATATCCATAATTTATATAACATATTAATTAATTATATGGCAATATATCTGGTTAAATAATAGAATATATTATTTAATAATATACTGGAAACATATAAGAATGCATTTAATATCTTTAAAAATATTATAATATATAAAATAAATAAAAAAGTAAAAAAATAATCAGAATTTGTATTTATATATTTTAATAAATAAGTTCTTTAGTCATTTTTTTAACTATTATAAAATAATTATTTTTAATAAATAGAAATTAATTAAAATGATATAGATGAATTAACTACTACTACTTCAAATATGAAATAAAAATGTATAAAAATGTGTTTATTAAAAAATAAAATATATATTAATAAATATTTTTTTATTATATATTAGATTTGAATATATAATATTTTAATACAATCAAAAATATAAAATAATAATAAATTATGCACATAAATGATGATTTTTTATCAGATTATAACATATGTAACTATAAAAATATATAAATATTATATATATATATATATTAATAATTAAAATAGATGATGAAGATAATTAAAATGAATAGAATAAATAAGAAGTATTAATAAATGATATTGAGAATAAATATTATAGGATAAATTCTAAATAATTCATATAATATTTTTGTATAGAATAAATAATAAATATATTGAATGCTAACATATGTTTTTAAGAAAAATAATTAATTAAACTTTTATTAAACTAAAGCTAAAAATAATTTTCTATTTAAGAAATTTTAAAACTATTACCAGATTATGTTAATAAATAAATATTTGAATAAATTATATCAGAAAATTAATTAAGATATATAAAATCAAAAGAAATTGATAATAAATAGCTATATAGTGTTAATTTAAATAAAATTATTTAGAAAATACAATATTATTATATTTTTAAATTAATTGAAAGAACATAAGGATAAAATATAACAAGAATTTTACGTATTTTAAAAAAATGTAAATTCTTAGAAATAAAAAAAGTAATTTTTATATCTATATTTTAATTATTTATTTTTTAAACAAAAATTATATAAAGATTGCCGAATTATCAGTTCTTTCTATTAGCGAAGTATAAAAGTTTGTAGATTAATTATAATAATAAGGATTTATAACTTAACAGGAATTATATTTAAATGGCTAAAATACAATTTATTGTATATTAAATTAAAATAAATAAATATTGAATAACTAAGCAATATAATCATACTATAATGTAAAAAAAAAAGATATTGTATTTTTAATATTAATATATTCTTGTTTTTTTTATTTTTTTTAAAAAAAAAATATTAATAAAAAATTTAGTGTATTCAAAGTTTAAAATAAGAATAAAACATTTTACTTAAAAAACATGAAAATTTCTAAATTTCAAATAAAAAAGAACAAGATAATAACTTGAAAAACATAATAAATCTCTAAATTGCAATATAAGAAGTTGATTTAGCATTATTATTTTTTACAGAGTTTAATTAAATTTGAAAAAAATAAAAATATAATAAAAAATAGATATATTTAATCAAATAAAAAATTTAATAATTAAAATGCATATATATATATATATATATATATATATATATACATAATAAAATATATTTAAATTTATTATAATATATATGCTTCTTTTTATTTTTGAATATTTATAATTAATTTGATAAACATAAAATTATAATAAAAATATATGATTTATAATGTTAATATTTTCAATGTAAACCAAAACCTTCAGCATTTTCTAATGCTTAAAGTAATTTTTTTTTAAGTTATTCTTTTGAAGTATACATAGGAATTTATAAATAATTAAAACATGTATGAGCAGAAGGTAATTATTCATCGCCACCTCCATTTCTAAAGTATAAACATATATATATATATATATATCGATATTTTATAAAAAAATACCTTATAACAGTAAATTAAAGTGATCCTAAACCAGTTATAGGAGATCTTTCACTTCCAGTGCAGAAAAGTAAAAATCTTTTTTTTATTCTATATCAAATTCATTAAGAGTTTCCCATAACCATCTTTATTTATGTATTTATTTATGTAATTATATTAAATATTACTTAACTTAATCAGAATTTTCATCATAACCATCTTTATATGAAGTCTTTTCTTTTAACTCATTTAAATTAAGTTCTTCAAGTCCAACAAGGACTTGTGTAAGTTCAGAACTAGAAAACATCTTTATATATATATTTATATTATATATTTTATTAATAAAAAAAATACTTTAATTAATTCTCCATTTAAAACTTTATAAAATCCTCTTTTGAAGTTATTAAATTATTTTTCTATAGATTTATTTAAATACCAATCTACATATAAATCAATAAATTATTATTTATTTTCTTAAGTTACAGATATATTATCTCCATTTTCCTTTATTTTTTATTTTTATTTAATATATACAATAAAAATTTACAATCAAATCATATTTTATAGTCTCATATACAGTTTATTCAATTTAAAAAGTAAGTTAAAGATCAGTCTATAAATCTCCTTAATAGCTTAAAATATGCTTAAATCCTTTAGTAAGTAGAAGGATCAAATTCTGCAATATCTTCAATAGTAACAGGTTCATCAATTAGTTTTATATAAATAACTCTTGGGAATTTCGCATCCATTTAAATTTAATTGTATATAGCTAACCCCATCAAACTACCAATTAATTCATATAAAATAGGCATATCATATGAATGTCCATTAAACCATAAAAACCTATCATCCTATTAATTTTTTGTTAATTATAATTATTAAATACTTTTTAAAAAGAAATACGTTTTTTGGTAAAAACATTCCAAAATCAGGATTTAATAGTTTTTTTATCATAATTTAATAATATTCTTTTCTTAAACCACCCTCATCTATTCCTTATTCGCCTTTAAATTTAACCTATTTCAATAATAATTATTATATAAATAAAATAAATTTTTTATAATATATATATATATATATATATATATATTTATACTTTAAAAGGTAATCTAAAATTTAAATTAGGTCTTGAAATTTATTCCATAGTATCTTCTAATACAGTATCCCTCCCGACTTCAAAAATAAGAAAAAGCTAAGATGTTGATAATAAGAATTACCCTTAATCAAAAAAGTCTCTAATCCTACTCTCATGTGCTTATTTTTTTTAAAACTTTGAATCTACTTCTAACAAAGTATATTTATATTTCACATCAGTACAAAAGGGATAATTCATATAAGAAAAAAGCCTTTTATTAGGATCTTTATTTTTTTTTGATTAAATCCAGAATATATAATCTTCGTATATGTTATTATTATTATTCAATATAAAATCGTTTTAAAATAATTAAGGATTAACTCTTTATTTTATTACATTAGATGTATATAATATTTTTAATAAATTCATAAATATTTCTAAACTATTGTATTGAATATCTTCTGTTATTTCTTCGTCATATTAAATTATACTTATTTATGTTTATAATTATCCTACCCATTTTTCAAATTAATTACATGGAACTTCTTTTAACCAATTTCCCTTTAAAAAAAAAAAAAATTCTATTTTATTTAT